GATTGTTATCTCTTCCTCTTGATTTGTTCCCTTAACAATTATGTAATGAACTTCTTTTTCTCTTCTGATTAGTCTTGACTTGAAATCTACTTTGTCTGCAAATAGAATAGCTACCCCCACTTTCTTCTGGGTTCCTATTGCATGACGTATTGTTTTCCATCCTTTGACTTTCAGTCTGTGAGCTACTTTTTTGTATGTGTTTCTTGTATGCCACATATTGTTGCTCTTGTTTCTTCCAGTCTGTTTCTTTTGATTGGTGAACTGAGACCATTCACATTGATGGTTATGACTGAAAGGTATTGACTTGTTCTGGTCAACATATTATTTTCCTGTTGTTGATTCCCTTTCTTTTCCTTTTAATTGCTTGCCTTGCCTGGTGGATACATTCTATTGCAATTTTTGGAACTGTTGTCTTCACTGTGTTTTTCTAGAATATCCTTCAGAACTTTTTGGAGTGCTGGTTTGGTGGTCATGAATTTCTTCAAGTATTTTTTATCATGAAAGTATCTTATTTCTCCATCAATTTTGAAAGATAATTTTGTGAGTCCATCAATCTGGGTTAAAGTTGTTTTCTTTTAGGAGTTGAAATACTCCATGTTCTCCTTAATTTAAGGGTTTGTGTTGAGAAGTCTGCTGTGATTCTGATAGGTTTTCCTTTATTTGTGATTTGTTTCTTTTCTATGACAGGTTTTAATATTCTTTTCCTGTGTTGAATTTCTGGAATCTTGACTATTATATCTCTTAGTGTATTTTTTTCTGATCATGGATAATTGGAATTCTGTGTATCTCACTTATCTGTGTGTCAAATTCCTTCTTCATGCTTGGAAAGTTTTCTGGTATTACTTCTGTGAACATTTTTTTTAATGTCTTTTGTGTTACCTTCTGATTTTTCATTGATTCTAATTAATCTTATGTTATTCTTAGCACCATCTAGCAGCTTTTGGATTGAGTTTTTGTGGTCCCTCACTATTTTTTAGAAATCTTTCACTTGATGATCACTAATTGCAACCCTGTCTTCTAGATTTGATATTCTGTCTTCACATTTGTTGATTCTGCTGTATACACTTTCAATAGAAATTTTCATCTCCTGAATATCTTCTATCTTCTTTATGGAATCCAGTTTTTACTTTAGTTGGGCATTCATGGTTTCTATCACTTTCCTAAGCTCCTCTATTTTTTATCTGTATCTGCTCTAGATTAACTAACCATATCCTTCATTATGGTCATCATCTCCTTAGTTATCTGTGTAATTATTTGTTTGTTTGTTTATAGAGACTCATTCATCTGCTTTGTTATTTCTGCTATTACCATTTCAGCTGGTTGGCTTTCGATTTCTTCTACTTCAGTGTTCTCTGGATTTGCCTTGGGCAAGCCGGAGATTTGGGGTTGCACTTGCTTCCATGTTTCCTCATTTTCTATTTTTTTTGTTGTTTATTTGTTTTCTGGATTGATGCTTGTAAATTGTTTATGTTAGGTCTTTATTACTAGTATTGAGACCTCTTTAGGAAATTACTACTTTTCAGAGATGTCTTCTAGGCATAGCTAGCTCTTGGCCTTTGGGTCTGTCCCAAGATCCTGCTTTTTCTGTTTATTAGGAATGAGAGGTTGCAGCCTGTTTAGCCTAGCACCCAGTTCTTTTGTGCTGAACTGTAATATTGCTCATGTTTGCCAGCCAATCTAGGTATTGACATACAAGAAAGATCAATTGATCACAGAACCCATGTGCTTTGGTTAAAGGAGTAACATCAAACACAGAATGGAAAATGACAAGCTTTGACAACTAATATTTTGCCACTTTTAACACTATGTATATTTATAGTTATATAACAATCTAAGACAAATCAGAAAATTATATCCTGTAAGTATCAGTGGAGCAATTGTACCCTAAGGGGAGAAAATTAAAAAGAAGAGGAAAAAATAGACAAATAAAAGAAGAAAAAGAGATAAGAAGCAAAGCTGAAGGACAGAGGAAGATTACCCAAGTTTAGGAAACTGGTGAAGAAGACAAGAGGGATGGGAAGAATGAAAAAACTAAAACAAGGACAAAACAAAACAATAAAGTACAAACAGCATTCACTTTCACAAGGAAACAGAAACACACAGAAAAAAAATGAACAAAAACTAAAAAATAAAAGTTTCTCTGTGATTTAAAGCCTGTGGTTATCATCTGGAGTCTATATTGTGGCAGGGTCTAATTCATGGCATGCTTCTCCTCTCGCTGGTAGACAAATGAGATGGTCAGAGCCCAGATCCATATTGTATAATCCCAGTAAACCAACAGTACGATTAGGGAGGGGTGCTGGATAATCCCAGAAAGCCAGAAATAGTCGTGTGTGGTGTTGGTTCTGTGACTTTCAAATCCATGGAAGTTTGGGCTGAACCTGATGTCTGGTCATGGAATTGGGCCCTGAGTCATTTAGTTTATAACACTCTGGGTGTCTCTTGCCAGCTTGCCTATAGCTTCCTAGCCATGGAATTTCCCATGATTGTCCCTCAACCAGGTTCAGATTTCTCTTAGGAAGAAGGACTCCATTGGCAGTTGTGTTATGCTTTGGCAGAAAATTTGTCTACATTTTGCCTACATCTAGAGACTTTGCTGAAGACTAAGATTAAGTGCAGCAGGCTGGCAGAAGAAATTTCAAGCCAAACCATTATTGAGGTGGTGGCATGGCTACTGTTGGGGCTTTTAGTGAGATTTATATTGTGAATCAAGAAGAATGGCCTAGCAGAATGATTTAAAACATTTTGAGTTTGGCCAGAAAGAAAGCTCCAGTAATGCTGTGGCATGCAAAAATGGAACAGAGAACTTGGTTGCTAAAAAGATTAGCAATAAAGCGGTACATGAACAGGACAATAGACAAGATGGCCCGAGGGCATCATAAGAACCAGCAGGACACAAAATTGCAAAGGTGAAAGATTTTACTTTGAGAAGAGAACCCCAGGGAACCATATTCCAAAATAGCAATGGCCTGGGGAATTTATTCCTCCAGATTACATTTATTAGTGCTCAACAATCCAGGCTCTCGAGTCCTACAGCCAAGAGAGAAGGAAGCCTGGCTACTGCTCCAGCTGGTGGAAGACCCTAGCATAATCCACATAGTGCTTGTTTTAGGTACATACAAAACGCAAGATTTGTGGGGCCAAGAAGGCTTCCACCTAGATTTCAGAAGAAGCCCTGGGAGGCCAGGCAGTATGGCTCTGAGAGGGCAGTGTGTGAAGCTGTGAGTGTGAAGCTGTGAGTGTGAAGCTGAAAGTGCAGTGGAGACCCCAGACAGTTGGAGAAGCCAGGAATATGGATTGTCTGAGGAAAAAGCCAGCCCAAGAGAGAAGCCATGAGAGCTACAACCACCAGCAGTAGGGGTGGAGCCACCTAAGCTCTTTAGAGTTTACATCACTGATTTCCCCAGTTGCTGGACATGGAACTATGGGATTTAATGTTTGCCCTGCTCAATTTTGGTCTTGCTTTAGTCCCATTCCTTTCTGTCCCTCTACTTATACCTTTTTCCACTATATGTTTAACTTTCTTTTCATTTTTACAGGAGTTCACAGTAAGAGTTTGCCTTAAATAACAGAGGAGACTGGACTTGGACTTTTCAGTGATGCTGAAACTGGTAGGACTTCGGCAACTCTTAGAGATGGACTAAATGCATTTTGCATAAAAGTCTGTGCATGAGTCTTTTGGAGGCCAGAGGTGGAATGTTATGTTTATATCTAGATATCCCCCCCCACCCCGCCAAGCCTCATATGTTCATAGGTGGGGCTTTTGGGAAATGGTTGGATTGTGGGCATGTCATATTGAATTGTGGGTATGACAACTGGATTAGTCCACTGATTGGTTTAGCATGGTTCTGGGTATGAGTGATATATTTACTGAAGAAGGAAGACCTACCCTGGATGTGTGTAGCACCAAGCAATAGGCTTGCAGCCTGGATGGAATAAAAAGGGAAAAAAGTTGTACTGTTTCCTGCCCACCATACCATGGACTGCTTTTCCTCTGCCATGTCACTCTGCCTTGGAGCCAGCCAACTATGGACTGAAACCTCTACAAACTGTGAGCTAAAATAAACCTTTCCTCCTTTAACTTGTGGGTATCAGGTATTTTGTCCCAGCAAACAGAAAGTAACTAAGACACTTGAGCTTTCTGAATGTCATTGACTATATCTTTTAAATGAGGATCGTGATCTTTATAGTGTTGTTGTGAAGGTCTAATAAGACAGCACATGACAAAACAAATGCCAGTTTGGTTAGCATTAACACCACTCCAATTATATCAGCCAGAATTTTAGACCTCATGTGCTGGATCTGGGTGTGTATATTGTACCAGCAATGAGAAAATAACTAAGACAGCCATCAAGATACTGGCATTCCAGGATAACCAATTAATAGCAACAGCTATGTCACCTTGGCTATAGTAATAAAATCAGCATCAATTATATCATCAAACACAAACTGAATATTGACAAACTACAAGAACTAAAATGTACCACTTTTACCCATAGAAGAGATATCTATAATTATAATATGAACAGTAAAACATGCCAGTATTGACCTACTCTTGACCTACCGTAAATATCTACTAAATGGAACAAATTTACTTCTAATAAAAGAACAGTATTCAACAGCAATAGCATAATGTTAACTAGCTATCTAGAGATCCATAAAGGATAGTAGTTATAATAGTAAAGGCAGTGGGGTGGAAAACTGGAGAATAAAAACAAACAAAACTTAAGAAATTAATCAGTGAGATATGAGAAGGAGGAGAGAAAAGTGAGATAGGGTGTCCTACTGAGGAGTGAAAGGAAATTAATAGTATTGGAGAACAATCACAGGAAAGAACAAACAAGAAAAAGAAAAAACATGAACAGAACTAAATACTGGAAAAAAAGAAAGATAAGGAAGTGGAAAAAAGTTGAAAAGTGAGAAAAGAAACTAAAAGAAGGAGAAAGGGAGAAAAATGCCAAAACCAAATCCCCCAAACAAACAATGAAGGAAAGATAAAAATAACAAAAAGTAGAAAATGTTTTTAAAAGACTGAGTCAAAGAAAAAAATCCCTTTGTTTTTAAACAAATGGTTTCTTTACAAGATCTGCATCCATCTAGTCATGATTTTTCCCATCTAGATTTAGGGCTTATGGTTTTTGAGGTGCCCCCTCCGCACCAAATGCCCGTCTATCCTTTCACCTCAAATTGTGGTCATTGTCCAAGGCAAGAATGAAAAACGTGATCAGACCTCTGGTCTTTGCTGATGTTGGTCATGGGGGGCAGTTCAAATGGTCTGTTAGACTTAACGTTCATAGTCATGGGGTCTTTTGCTCCCTTCTCTCCCTGGGCTTTGTCCTCATCTAGGCTCAGGTTGTTTGGTTAGTCCTGACTTCTGCTGCCCCATGTGAAAGTGAAGCAAAATGTAGACTCAACTTGGAGTTAATAGATAGTCTCACCCTGTGTGGGCCTGCCTGCTCATGTCAGAGAGGGCTATCACAGTTCCAACATAGGCCTGCCAGCTCATGTCCCTGCTTGAAATGGGGGAGGGACACTGTGGATCCTAGAAGCAGGCTTTTAATATATCTTTTTGGGGGAAATCAATTGTATAGTGAATAATAAAATAATGAAAATATGTCATTAGTCAATCTGAACATCTTATTGAGAGCTAAAAAACCTTGTTACTTAGATTTTAGAGCAAAAGCCTTGATTCTGGGTTGCCAAACAGACGAGGCTTGTCTACCCACCCAGTAATACCAGTCAAGGAGAGGAGCATTGGTGAAGGCCAGGAAAGGAGTTTTAATCAGCATGGTCACGATGAGAAGCACATAGAAATAGATTCAAGATCTATCTTGGAGGGGCTGACAGAAGCTTTGGGGTTTTATAGAAAAGGAGAATAAAGGCAAGGATTAGGGGTGTACATAGGGGCTGTTTGTATAGCTGGCAATGTAGGTAATCCAATCAAGTCTGGTATGATAGATTAGTATCTCAAGACTGGTTCTTGAGGAAGGTTTTGTGAGCCATCATCACTTGAAAGGGCAGTTTGGTTCCCATCGTGAGATGATAGGTTCTGCTCTGAGGGCATCATCAGTTCTCATCATGGGGTAATTGTTACTGCTTGGGGGGTGAATTCATCCTGGGGTGGTCAGCAAGGTTCTGCTTTCTCCATAATCCAAGGTGATTTTAGGTTTAGGACAATGGCTGGAGACTTCTAGGCATAGTTCTGGAGATCTAGAACTGGATGTTGTTTGGTTTTTTGTTTTTGTTTTTGTCTTTTTGGTACCAGGGATCGAACTTGGGACCTTGCGCTTGCAAGGCAGGCACCGGAACCACTGAGCTAAATCCCCAGCCCTAGAACTGGATATTGTAAAAGCTGGAAATTAGATGTCCCTGAAAATTCTGAAAATTACGTGAGTTATTCCTATTTTGGTGTTCTCAGTCTTGAAGGGAGATGTGATAGGCTAGGTAAATTTAAGGCTAATAAACCTTGTAATACAGACATTCCTTGAGTGATTAATATGCCTAATTGCAGAGGTGAGCAGGGATCCGACCCAAACTTTTAAGGTAATAAAGGTGACAAAAAATAAAGGCAGAAATGCCAAGCTTTATCCTGCTGTTAGTTGCCCATTCAGCATCTGCATGCCTCTAGCCTCCAAGTTCCTGTTACAGTCTTAAATTATGATTTCAGACGAGGCTTTGATTTCTATAGTCCAGAAAAATTATCATTTTCTAAACCTTAAAAAACAACAATCCCAAACTCAAATCCCCAAACTCGCAAAGAACCAAATGCTTAAAACATTTCTAGTGTATCTTCCCCACTAGCCCTCTCCTCCTTCTTGCATCAGAGCCACCGTGACTCTCTTCAAAGTTGTCTTTTGATAGTATCTCCCTTCCTTCCCCTGTCTGTCTCCTACTTGAAGGCAGCCCTTACTGGATTATATCTAGCTGTCTCCTGGGTCTTAAGGGAGTAACTGGCAGGAAAGAGGAGAAAGGATAATAAATTTGTGGAAGGTAAGCTATGGGAAAGGGGAGACCCCTGGCCCAGGAGAGACCCACTTAGTCCTCATCGGAGGACCCCGGCAGGGGAGTCAGGCTCAGCTCTGAGGCTCTCCCTGGAGAAGTTGAGGCAGCTCTGAGAGGTGTGGAAAAGGCAGCACTTTGACTGGTATTAGATGTCCTACTTGTGGAACAGCACAGCAAAAAAAGCAGCCCTTGAAGAAATGTTACTGACTAGAGGAGCAGAGACTAGGATGGTCTTGGGGAAGGGAAAGAGGCCTGAAAAGAGGCCTAGCTATAAAAGTACAGGACAGAGAAAGTATTGAAAAGGAAGCAGCTCAGGATTCTTTTGAAAGTGAGGACAATAAAATGATGCTGAATATTAATGACCCTTAAACAGGACAAGATATAAAACTTCTCAGCCAGGCATGGTGGCACATGACTGTAGTCCCAGCACTCAGGAGGCTGAAGCAGGACAACTGGGAGTTTGAGGTCAGCCTGGGATACACAGTGAGTTTAAGACCAGTCTGAACTACATAGTGAGACCTTGTCTTAAAAAAAAATTTCCTTAGCCAGTGGGAAAAGAAAGCCCTAAGAAACTTGAGAATAAATAGCCTAGAGATCTTGTTAAAAGGAAGATTCTGATTCCCTAGGGTCAGAATCCTGCCTGAGGTCTGCATTTCCAACAGGTTCCCTGGGGAGGCTGTTGGTTCTTAGAATCTGCTTTCAGAAGCAAGGGAGTCTTCAAGAACTGAGAACAGAGAAAGCTAAACAGTAGAAGCTGCCAACTAGAGTCTCAATCATGGGTCAAATTCTGTGGAAGTCCCTCTAGCTCTAGTTCAAATTCAAGGTTGCCTTTGCAGGTTCCCATACAGTTAAAGGATTCAAGGAGGAGTTCATTGTGTGGGGCCAAGAGGAAAGAGATTGCAGATTTAGGGACCTTTCTCCAACCTTCCTGGAGTGGAAAAAAAATGGCTGGTTTTCAGCTGAAGTAGAGGGCCCAGGTCACCAATAATCGAGGGGATTGGTGAACAGAGAAAAATGCTAGCTAGAAAGTCCCTGAAGGACTCCAGGCAGCTGCTACATTCCCTACAAGCAGCTTTTCATAGGCCACTGGGAGGCAATTACTGGGAGGTTTTGAAAACAGATACGGGGCACTCCAGTCAAGCACTTGCCAATCCAGATGACCTATTGAGAGAAGCTCCTAATTGTAATAGAGGCAGAATGTTATCTGTACCAAGTTTAATACAGTTTTTTTAAGGGGGAAATGAGGACAGACCAATGCAGCCAAAAAGGGCTGGGTGTTGGCTTTGCAGAAAGCTGAGTTACACTTACAAATAGGATTGCCAGGTGTCCTGTATTGACCTGGACAGTGTGGTATTTTAGCTTCTAGAATATTCAAAAGCAGTCAATGCCTGTTTTTTAAAAAAATCTTTATTATTTCAGATGTAACTTATGCTTTGATTGACTTTCAATCAGCAGATGTTTGTAATTTTAGCTTTTAGTTACTTGTGCTAAGTACTGAATGGACAAACATAACCTAAAAGAATCTTACAATTCTTTTGAAATGTGAGGGATCCTTTTGTTTATCTGTGTGCAAGTAAAATGTTCCAAAACCCCTTCACTGTTAAATATTCCATTAAATAGAGTAAAAATCTACTGATTACAGGGGAGGGTACATTCTCCAAAATGTTATTTTCTCCCCAGTCTCTGTGGGGTAATTATTTTTATAATCCTGTTTACCAGTGAAGTGAGGAAAACACATTTGTCTTTGGGGCAGTAATAAAAACTAATGTTTATTAAAGATATATGCATGCTTTGTTAGCTCTTTACATCCTCTCCCTCGTTTCTTGCAGCAATCATGGAAGAGAAAACAAGTTGAGAGTCAGTATTCAGGTCCCAAACCTGAAAGTTATCCTCAGTCCTGTTACAGGAAGTGAGAGACTGCTTTTGCTAAAAAGTGCTGACTTTTCATTTGGACCTGTAAATATCTGGTGGGTAACTGAAAGCAAGATAAAAAGTGTGGCATCTCTACTTTATATCTGTTTCCTTTGCTACTTTAAACTTTGGGTCAGATTCCTGCTGAATTCTGCATGTAGTCACGTTAATCATTTAAGGGGTGTCTGTTTAAAAACTGGCAATGAAAAATTTATTAGCCCTAAATCTATTTAACTTTTCTCTTCCCCCTTCAAGACTAAAGACCCAAGATAAGAATATCTAAGATATTTTCAAGATTCCAGCTTTCTAGGCAGATCACCCATGAGGGGCCTGTTCGCTAAGCAAGAAGGGTTACTTTGACAGAATCAAGGCTGCTTCCCTAAGCCAGAGCCTCTCATGACAGAACTGAATTGCCTTGCCAAGTAATAACAACTTCCTGTAAATGAGTGAAGGACCTCACAAACCAGACCTGACATAATGATCAACCAGGCCACAGTTTGACCAAGGTTGCTTGACTAAGCATACTTCCCCTACCCCACTTTGTTCGTTTGCTCTATGACCCCAAAACTTGTCAGAACCCTTAAGACAGGACTTAGGATACTAGTCCCCCTGCTTCCCAGTATGGTCACATTGAACAATACAATCTTTTCTTGCATCATCACCACTCATGTCTCTTGAGGTGGCAGATGGCATAATGTAGTCCGCTAGAGACCTCCAGAGTCAGGCCTCTGGCCTAGGACTCCAGTAATAACTTTTTTTCTCTTAGACCCCTCATCCAACTTATTACAAGGTCTACCAGCTACAGCTACAAAATATATTTTAAAAAATTAACACTTTTTTGCTGTAGTTCAATTTCTTATCTTTCTTGCTTGGACATTTTATTGGCTTTCAAACTGTCCCCCAATGCGATTCTTACCCTCAACAGAATTGTCCCTCCTCCATACAGTGACCAGAATGATCTCTTCAAACTTTAAATCAGATTATATACTCTTTAATAGCTTTCCTTCAATAAAACCCAAAGTCCTTTCCAGGACTTTCCCTACAGAATCAGGCTTCTGATTGATAAGTGCAAATTCTTCATTCATTCATTCATTCATTCATTCATTCAGCTGATGTTTATTGATGGTCTCCTATGTGCCAGGCACTCTCCTGGATGCTGACATATTGCTCCTGTGCAAAGCTCACATTCTAGCAGGAAGAGACAATAATAAAAGAAACCCATAGCATTTTAGTGGTAAATAAGTGATATGGAGGAATATGAACCAGGAAAAGAGATTAGAGAATGTCAAAATGGCAGCGAGGGGCCATTATTTGTAATAGGAAGGCCAGGAGGGCCTTCCTGAGAAGATGACATTTGAGCAGAAACTTGAGAGGGAGTGAGCCAAGTGGATTTCTAGAGGAAGAACATTCCAGGTAGAGGGAAAGAGTGCATGCAAAGCTTCTAAAGAAGAGACATGCTTGGTGTGTTTGAGGAATAATAAGGAAGCCAAAGTGGCTAGAGAAAAGAGAAGACTGCAGGGAAGTAAGCCTAAGTCAGAGAGGTCTTGGGCATGGATTGAGGAGAGGGCAAACCAGGGAAAAACTTGTAGCAATGCCCCCCCACACACTATATATATGTATATATATATACACACACATATATATATATATACACATATATATATACCCACCCACACACACATACACACACACACACGTACATACACCCTAGGACTTGGACTTTAGCTGTCAGTAACTTGGTTGAGAAATGAGCAGAGATGAAATTGTGTAGAAGGGCAGGTGTGGCTGCAGGGAGACTGGTTCAGCATCAACTCAGGAGAAGTAAGAATGTCATGGGCCAGAATGGTGACCATGAAAGGAGAGAGAAGGGCTCAAATGTTGCTGAGCAAATAGAGTGAATGAACTTGAACACACTCACTAAGCTAACAGGTGATGGAGCCAAGATTCTCATGCAGCAGTGTGAGTCTAGAGCCTTTGCTGATAACCACAAATAAGGTGAAAGGAGAACTAGAAAAGTGGAGCTGCTGCAACTCCCTCGGAGCTTCCTGTCTTGGAGTGGTTAGCAGCTTCCTGTTGATGGAGTTGTTAAGAGGGAGGAAAGTATTTTCTTATTGGAATCTTTTTGGAAAAGGCAGAAGACAGACAAATAATTTTCTGAATACAAAACATATGGAAGGGCTGGTGATTTAGCTCAGTGGCACCGCACCTGCCTCTTAAATGCAAGATCCTGAGTTTGATTCCTGGTGCTGCCCCCCCCAAATTATATATATATATACATATATATGTATATATGTGTGTATATATATGTGTGTGTGTGTATATATGTGTATATGTGTGTGTGTATATATATGTGTGTGTGTATGTGTGTGTATATATGTGTGTGCGTGCATATATATATATATATATATGTGTGTGTGTATGGAAGAGGGCTGGGGAAGTATCTCATTGGTAGAGTGCTTGCCTAGCATACACAATTCCCTGGACTCCATCTATCCACAGTACTGCAAACAAAACAAAAACAAAAGACATCTGGAAAGTCAAAAAACCCCAAATCCACTACAGTATACAGGGCTGAGATCAGGGTTATTGATCAATGACCTCTTAAGCGTGTGTGTAATTTGTTTTGAAGAAAATAAACTAAGGGAATGCTTTGGGAATTAAAATATTAAATGAAAAATTGCAAAGTCTGTAACTAAGATACCTTTTTTGGAAGAACAACTAGTTTAGAAGATTAAAGGTATGCAAATATAAAGCAAAGATTCTGAGCCATCCATTTTTCTGGCTTGCATTTCAATCTTTAGCTTCCTTAGGGATAACTTGGATGACTGTTTACTCTTCAGTGTTATTTTCCATTTGCTAATCCGTTGGATCCATTTGAGTCAAACTTTTCTTGGCTTGGTTGCTTCTTTTGGAAGTGTTCCTTCCTTCAACTAGGTTACAGAAACAAGAGCTGAATTCTATACACAGCTGTAGAAAGTAGATTTCTATTTTCAAGTTGACATGACTATTCAGAGCACTGCTTTAATGTTGATACTGACCAATTTTCTTTCTTTCTTTCTTTCTTTTTTTTTGGTACTGGGGATCGAACTTGGGACCTTGTGCTTGCGAGGCAGGCATAGTGCCACTGAGCTAAATCCATGGCACCCAGTTTTCTTGATAAAGTCCTATTTCTCAACCTAGTCAGACATTGGCGTGTGGCATGTGCACATCCTATGAGGAGACAGGTAGGCCCCATTAAGAGGAGGAATTAGGGTCTCACAGAGGGAAATTTGAATCTATATCTGCGTCTCAGAGTTGGATGACCCTGGTCAAGTCCTTAACATTTTCCTCACTGGCAAAACTCACACCCCCAAAACTGCCTTGTGAAATTGCTGTGAGATTAACTAAAATGATATATGTGGTGTCACAGAATGATTTGCTTAATTAATGATAGTAATTAAATTAATTGCCCGTAGACTACTTTTGTGAGGTGGTTTTTTTAGCTCTGTTGTTTCACCCACAGAGTGGCTATATAATTTATCATCATCCAAATTGGGAGTGAGTGTATAAGAATGAAAGATGCCCAATCCGAGAAAGTCTGGCCCCAGAGGATTAGGCCAGGCTCTCCCCTGGTAAACCAGGACATACAGCCACCTCCCTAAGACTAAGAGGCCTACAAGAGAGAGCTGGCTGCCATCCGGATGCTAGCTAGGCTGGAGGGACAAGAAAGAGGCAGATGGCATGAGCAAAGCCAGACGTTGTCTTTGTTGTACATAGTTTACTACTATCTATTTATAAGCATGCTAGTTAAGAATAAAAGCAGTCTTCTCTTTCCTTCTCCACCTTAAAAATTGGTAAAGGAATTGCCCCTACTGAGCCCAGATTTTCCCAAGAAGATAAGCATAGCTTGCAATGTGCCAGACAGCATGAAACCTAGAGGAGCAGGTTGGGGTAACAAGGCCTTCTCTTACAGACCAGGGTGCACAGATTCATGTTACTGGATTATTCTTTGTTTCTTGCCAGCACGATGGTACTCAAACCTACAGGAATTTAGGTATAATTGGCATTACTATAAAATATTTATTTTCAGGTCCTCTGTGCTGACTTTCCAAATTCAAGTTCCCTGAAGTTCTCTATCTTTAAACTAGTATCCAGGATATTTTCTATGACCTTAAAAGATTAGGGAACATTGATTGCTCTTACTTTGGAAAAGTCCATTTGGGCTTTGATTTATTTGTGCAGTAATGCTAAGAAATGCCTTTTGTCACCTCATACTTGTGCCTCAGATATAAAGGTTGAATTGACCAGAGGAGGCTTTGATGGAGCCATAGTCATCAGTGAGAGATTCTCAAGAGAAAGATGAATCTCTGGGACAGGGGACAGAGTTTTGTGGTCCCTCGGGAATTCTTTTTAGTGGAGGCTTCAAGCAGTTGAGCCTTATTTTTATATAAAAGTAGTGATTTCATGACCCTATACTTCATTGCTTTCTCTTTTTTCCCCACCATGCTTCTGGGAAGAACTATTCATATTCCCAGTCTCTGTCTCTACTTCCTTAATCCTCACTCATGCCTGAGTGCAGTGGAATGAAGACTAACCTGTGTGACTGTTATGGTTTAGGTCTAAAATGTACTCTGAAAGTCACATGTGTTCAGAGGTAGGACTTCCAGGAAGGTGATTAGATCATGGTGGGGGTGGTATACTCATCACTGGATTAATCCATATTTGAATGTGCTGTTAGGAGGTGGGGCCTGGTCAGAGGGATGGGTCACTACAGGTGTGACCCAGAAGGGTATTCTTGTCCTAGCTCCTCTCCTCCATTCTTTTTCTTACCTACCTATGGGTTAAGTAGCTTTCCTCTTGTGCCATGCTATTTTTGCCTTGGAGCCACCCCACCATAGGTGAAATCCTCTGAAACTGTGAGCCATATAAACCTCGCCTCCTTTATGCTGCAGGTATCAGGAAACCATACTAACACAGTACCCATGAGCAGGTTAGTGAACTATTCTGTTTTCCCACTGTGACTTCTAAAATGAAGCAATGCAAGAATAGTCTTTAGCTATAGTAGTAGATATTTGAT